GTCCTGGATATCTGCCTGGCTTGAGCTCTCATTTCTTTAGGTCTCTGTTCATATGCCACCTCCACAAAGAGGCTTCTCCTGACTGCTCTGTATGAAATAGCACCCACTCCTCTAGCACTTCCTTATCCTACTTAATTATCCATGGTATTTTTCATATTTATTTATTTGCCTCTTCTGGTAAAATGTAAACTCCATGAGTATAGGATTTTTGTCTATGGTGGTCACTGCTATATCTCCAGTCTCCTAGAAGACTGACTGGCACATGGTTTACACTCAATAAATACTTTTTGAATGGCTTAAATAAATACTTTTTGAATTTACCCCAGCATTTCTATCTCCATAAGTCTTTGAATTCTAAGACATCTCTGGCTTCTCAACTTCAGTGAGCATGAGTGGCTATAGAATCTAGGTTTTTGTTAACTAAGCAAGCAAACTATTAGAACCAAACACGTCTGCTCAAGCTAGCCTATTAAATTCATAATTTCTGGTAAATATGTTTATATCAATAAATTCAGTCATATCTAAAATTGTTTCTTCTTCCTTGGTCAGGCAACTTCAATCTGTCTCTACGTGTCTTCCCCAGCCTTCTGCTAATATAAATTAGCAAAGGCTCCTCCTCCAGTTTGACTTTATAATCCATACCAGGGCTTGCCCTCATTACAGATCTGTAGATGCTGGTGAGCGGGATGAAAGAGCCTAAGGGAGAATTAGGAGTGGTCCCTCAGGAATGAAAGCAACAGTGTCTTCCAGCAAGAGAAGAGCCCTTTCAAACACTGGGAGACGAACAACTTCAAGGAGCAAGGGAGGCTCCATTTGGAAATTCAGGGTACTTGGAGTTTTCCAAGTACTCTCATTTCTCCTCATTTCCTCTCTCCAATCAATAAACAAAGGAAACCTGGCAAGGCTGTGATTTAGTAGACGCTGCAATTTGGCAACACACAGAATGAAATGAGAGTTTGGAACCAGCCACCTCGGCTCTCTGGGGAGAGGGAGGAGATTGAAATTGAAGGTAGTTTGCAAAGGGATCTTTAGTCTAATCTATAATTTTTTTAAAAAATTAAAGGATTCATGGATTTTATATTAAAATTAATTTCAAAATTACAATATAGTGTAAGTAGTATGAAAAATATTCCTTTTTTCTTTAGGAACTCGGGTGGAACAATCACTGTTTAGCTTAATACAGCCATATGCCTCTGTATGCTGTATGATGTAGGAACTTAACTCTTGTTTATATCAATTAGCCTACAGTAAAATTGGTTTTGTTATATAGTATATTATTTCACTTAAAGTTGCAGTTTCCAAGAACCTATTGACAATATTAAGTGAGGACTTACTGTATCTGATCCCATCTTGCCATAGTCTCATCTGGTATCAATCACGTCTTATTTGTGTTCACAATTGCTCAAATCCTAGATTTGGTACCTCCTACTCCTTTCCCAATTATACTTCTGGCTTCTTTAGACTACAGCTCTTCCTCTATGGCAACGTATTAACTGCTTGGAGTAATAACACTCTTGTCTCAAATTCCCTTTACTCCTATTCAGACAGATTGATTTCAGGGTAGAACCTAGACAATTATTGAATAATGTAATGTATAATAAGGAATATACAGAATGGTATAGGATCAAAGAAGAGAGGTGCCAAACATCACCTCATATCATCAGGGAAGTCTGCCTAGAAGAGATAACAGCAGGAGGGAATGGGGAGGAAGATTTTAAATACATATGTATGTTCTAGGTGCTTTACAAATGTTACCTCATTTAATCCTCTAAATAACTCCGTCAGGCAGATTCTATTATTTTCCCTATCTTATAACTGAAGGAACCAAAGAGCATTAAGATGAATGACTTGCCCATCATACAGCTTGCAAATAATGGAGCTGAAATTCAAACCTAGGAAATTTGGTCCCCGAGTCTCTGTTCTTTATCATAGGTGATAAAATAAGACCCAGTGGGAGTCAAGGATGGCATCTATCTGGACCAAGGGAACAGTATTTGCAAAGTAGTGAAGCTGTGAGAAGACATGGTTGATTTGAGCATAACCATGCATTTGGAATGGCAGGAGTGTGAGTAATGGAAGAAATCAGTTCATGGACGGGTGGGTTATTTGATGCATTTTATCTTATAGGAAATAGGAGTAGTTGAAAGTCTTAAGCAGGACAATAAAATGATCAAAATTGTATTTTTGAATAATCTTTCTGCAAGTGATATGAAAGATGGACAGGAATAAGCTATATTAGAAAGCATTTGTATTATCCTAAGGAGATGACGAAGGCTAACCAGAGCAGCAACGATAATGATGGAAAAAGAGGAAATGGAGTTGAATGCCACAAAATGAAACTGAAACTTTTGTATTTTAGATGTTTCAACAGTATTTTAGAGGGAAATAAGACCATAGTGTTCCTATATTTGCTTCTATCTTCCGGTTAATGAAACAGTATTCATTAAAGTCTTCAAAGAGTCGAGGATATTGTCTAGATTAAGTAAATGTTGTACAACTCTTCAGATAAGAGTAAATACATAAATATCTTACAATAATATTTAATGTTTCCACATTGAAGAGTAAAAAGATATGAAGACTAAACCTTTTATTTTACAAAATTTTAAAGACATGAAATATAAACCTAATTATATGTAAAAGAAAATCATTTTAAACAAGAGTTTATTGTGATGATATTACCTATCACTTTTACCTTGAAAACCTTTTCTTGGGTAGCTATTCTAAAATAAGAACCAGCAAATTTTGTTGCTCAGATACTTCTTATGTTTTGTATATTTAAGCTCTTTATTTATTGGACAGATGTATCATTAATCCATTTGGAATATTACTACTTATAAGTAAAATTTGATTTTTTTTTCAGTTATAGGTAAATCAGCTCCACCTGGAATTTTTAAAGATCCAGTTTCAGTAAATATTTTCAAAGAATGATGATATTTAGAAATAAAGTATTAATTAAAAAACAAATATTAACTATCAAATGGAACCAAGACAAGACTCTAAGCATTATGTTTGTAAATAGTCAATCCACATTTATTAATATTAGCAATGTATTAATGAATAGTTATGTAAAAGGCAAAAGACTCTCTCAGATACAATCTATTTCCATCAACATGTTAAAGATTGTATCAAAGTCTAGAATATATTTTATAATGAATGACATGAAATGATTTTGAAAAGGAACTTCTATGTTATAGAATTTATTAGAAAAGTGACATAAAAGTATAATGGAAAATAAAATTTTGATCCTTTGAATAAGGAAAGGATCCCTCCCTATCTGGAAAGACAGAACAACAAGCTTTTGAATATTTACATGGATTAATGAATTATTTGCCAAATTCTCCTGAAATGATACCTAATTCCCATTAAATCAATGGACACTCTGTATATGAGCATATATTTTTTAGAACTGTATTTTGTGAAAAGTCCATTTTTGATCACAGAATTTACTTATACATATATTAATAATTAATATACTAAATGAAAATGCCCTTATCTGAAACAAATACATTGTATAATATCAAATTTTTTTAGTCTTTTTTTAAAAAGAAAAAAAAAAAGAAAATCAGTTACATCATTTACATTTGGTATCCCACTTAGTAGATACACAGTCTTTGAAATCTATAATATTTTACATTTTGGTCATTTAATTTTATTTGCATTTCTCTTTAACATTTTAATAGTATTCATAATAACTTAATTTTCATGTTTACCTGAAAACCTGTTATATATTGTTAAAGGAATATCTTCTTTTTGATTAACACTTTCTATTAGGGATTAATATTTGAAAAATTAATTTGTTACCTGAAGCAACTGTCCTTCTTAATCACTTTCAAATAATGAAGAAAGATGCATCTTTGTAAATATATTTTAAACCTGGTTAGTGTATTAGAAACAGACACCAGAAATTAAAGATCAAATTTATTGCTATGACTCACAGTATAGTGAGTTACTTCAAATTTTACACTAGAGTGTTTTTAAAATGTGCAGAATACTGCTGTTCTCTCAGAAATGATCCCTTTTTATAATAATGAAATTAAAAATTTTTTAATAATTTTTTAATATGATACTAAGTATCCCAGAATTAATGAATTATAAAAGCTACAGATACTTTGGTTAAAAAAATAAATACCCATCTTTGATTTCTGATAGTAAAATAGTCAATCCATCAGTTAGGGTTGCAGCATATAATATTTTAACTATTCTGTGTGTTTCAAAATTCGTATGTTTTTAATAAATACATTTATCTGTCCTAGAAAACTTAGCTTTCTATGAAGTAAACCACTTAATGATATTATTGCTTTGGATATAAAATTGGCCTTCAGAGTATTATAGCCTATAAATAAATGAATTCCCCACCCACACCTACCCCCCAAAAGAAAGCCTACCAGTAGTCTAGCACAGTAGTGAACAATTTTAAATTAACAACTGTTATTCATACAAGCAGAGGAAGATAATTTTCATGTTAAAGCAGTTTTCAACATCAAACATCTGAATTATAAACTATGAATGAATTACCTTTAAACCATGGTCTTTAAGGTTACACTATTTCCTAAATGCTTTTAGGGGTGACATTAAGCTACCACATTTTAAAATATTTTAAATGACAAATATTTTACATTTCATGAATAATACATGAACAGCTTTAATTCTGCATATTATTTCCCTTAATCTGGGAACTAAAATGCTATTATAGGGTCTTCCTGACCCAAAGTAAATGCCATAAATTGAGTCAGTTTATCTCAGAATGAAGATTATCCAAATAATTGTAGCTTGAAAAGATGTAGCTTACGTCACAGCCAAAGTTCAGATTATTTGTGTAGAATCTAGCCTGCTGAATAAACACTATTTTTAATTGTAGCAGGTAATACAAGTAATAGAAAAGTTTTCAATTAATAGAAATGAAAAGAATTATAAATCTAATGTATAATTCTCAACATTCCCAGTTGCTTGCAAGTTTTCATTGGATAACAGCATAATGGCAAGAAAGGACTCCTTTAAAATGCATTATTTTTTGGCTTTATTTCAAATGCTGTGTAGCATAAGAACCTACTACTCAGAGATAATTTTTTAGCCGTGGAAAAAGAATACAAACAATGCCTATTCTAAACTGCTTAAAGAATTGATTGCCCTATTAGATGATGAATACCTGGAGGAATGATCGCTAGCAATTTATGGCTTAAAGTGCTTGGGTCTAATCATCATTTTGGCCTCTTTGAAGGAGGACTTATAGCCACCAGGGTGTGCCTCACTGATACCAGGCCAGGTGCCCCAGAAAATCCCATCGCGGACACCTCTGTATTTTTGGTGGTAATATTTGCCATTTAAATTTGCAGAAAGACAGGCATCAAACCACCAGCCTGAACTATAGTAGAGCCCACAGTTCCCGGAAGGATATCGATCATTGTCTTTATCTGGGGTGGTGAAAAACTTGAGATCATGGTTGTAATGTTTATTGAAACGTAAGCCATCTCCAGCTGTGCCATTATAGTTACCAACGTGTAAACGGTATTTCAGAAACTCGTTAGCCACATAAAACTGATCATACAAGGCATATAGTTTGACACCATTAAAGTCTTCAAGATCTATTCTCAGAATCATTTCCTTACTCTTGGTCAGAAGATGAATTTTATCATTGCCCAGCCAAAATTCTCTTCTGAGGTTTCCAAAGCCTGCTTTGTAGTCTCGCCACATTCTGGTGAAGTTGGTGCTTCCGTCGAGACGCGCCTGCAGCACGGTCCAGCCTCCCCCCATGGTCTCCATGTCACAGTAAACCTCAAAGCTACTGTTTTTGGGATCAGGCATTACTCTGTAGGTCTCACTGCTTCTTTTGCCTATTGCGTAGTAGTCAGAACAATCTTTATATATTAGATGTTGAACTGAAGGGGGAAGAAAAGGAAGGCATTGGATTTTGTTAATAAAAACTACACATCCGAAGAATTCTTGATACGTACAAAAGCAGCTTGGTAATTCAATCAATGACAGTAATGAAACTGTCCTCTGCTGAACTTACTTGAATCTGTTTAGCAAATGCTTGTGAAGGCCTCAGAACAAGAATCTGCTATTATAAAGTAGAAAGGGCCCTCTAATACACTCTTGGTTGGTACTAACAGTGACAACATTAACAACAAACAACAATAAGAAAAAAATAAGTAAAAATAATAGTTTTAGTAAGTTAGTATATTTAGTGAGGGTTACCTATATGCTGTAGTCTAGGCACTCTGCCAAAAATTGGATAACATTTTCACATTTAATGCGCACATCAGCCTTATGATGTAGGTATTCATACCAGTCTGCAGGTGAGAATATTTAGGCTTAAAGAGGATCAGTGGCTTGCCCAAGTTCACACAAGCATTGAGTTGCAGAGCCAGGACATGAACTCAGATCTGGCTGGCAGCAAAGCTTATTCTCGTCAACATTGTATTCCTCGATCCTAAAATTCAGATGATACCAACTGTCCTAGAATTGCATTCCATGCATACAGAGGAGGCACAGGCTTCTATTTCCTTTCACCTAAAGGGGCTGATAGCCTCTGCTGTCAGAAAGTTTGACAGGATATGTTCCAAATGATACATTAAAATTCTAATGTGCAGCATTGATTATAAATTCACATTTACTTGACAACTATATAAAGAAGCTCAAGTGAAATCTTTCTTCAATAATATATCAATATTCTTACTCTGAATTTAATTATCCAGGAAAGTATCTAGTCACTATTTCACATGTTTGGTTTCTAGAAAGAAATGACAGGTGATTATTATGTTCAGGATAAATGTAATAATCAGTTAACAGAGTTCTATAGGAATCAAAGGCAGGTATTTACTGCCAGATAATTTTTATAAAAATTTTTGACAGGCCGGG